GTGTGTGTGTGTGTGTGTGTGTGTGTGTGTGTGTGTGTGTGTGTGTGTGTGTGTGTGTGTGTGTGTGTGTGTGTGTGTGTGTGTGTGTGTGTGTGTGTGTAGTTAGTTAGTATAACAGTAGACTAGTTGTAGTGAGTTGTTAGTTTTTTTCCTATTTTTGAGTAGTTGATTTTTTTGAAAATAATTTGAAAGTAATACATAATGCAATACAGGTCAGGTCATTTCAGTTAGCTGGGTAATTCTGTCTATATTGTCTGAAAAGTTTCAATATTCTTATTTCGGTGTGTTAATAAAACAGCTCATAATCTCAATTCCAATTTCAACATTATGCTAAAGACCTTTCTTTGCAAAAATAATGTCAAGGAAACTAAAGTTGCATAATTTGAAATGTATAGTGCTAATTGATATTCTTGGCTACTGCTATATATTACTCATGAACATGCATTACATCATTCTGTTGTCATTAGTCTAGATCCTTAATAGAATCAATGAATAGTATATCACATCAGATGCTACTCTGTACTATTGTGTTCATTATCAGTTCAACCAGTAGTGCTATGTTAGCTCAACAATCATATTCCTGCAAGCCTAATGCTGTATCATGTGATGACATACAGAAGTACTGGCCAGATAGTCCTTCAAAGAATTACAGCATTGTAACTAAAGAAGGAACAAAGAACATTTATACTGTAATATGGAGGAGATGTACTGTGGTTCAGTAGGATGGACAAGACTAGCATATCTGAATATGACTGATGCTACAGGGAACTGTTCTTCTGGGTTTAGACTGTACCGGTCAGGTGGAGTTAGAGCTTGTGGTAGAGCAACATCAAGTGGAGGCAGTTGTGTATCAGTTCAGTTCCCATCTAATGGTATCAGTTACTCTCAAGTTTGTGGTAGAGTAGTGGGATATCAATATGCTTCCCCTGATGCAGTGAATCCTACTATTGGTGGCACTGAAAGTCATAATGATATTAATTCTTGTTATGTTGATGGCGTTAATATCACTCGGTTTCCTCATCGGCATGTCTCGACACTAATGGCTGGAGTATTTTAAAATGCTGATAGCATTTACAATTGTCCTTGTTATCAAAACTCAACTCTTTAGTCTTTCATCGGTAATGACTACTTCTGTGAATCTGATAATCCTGCTACTGATGTTTCAGGTCAATACTATATACATCTGATCCATTGTGGGATGGTAAAGGGTGTGGTATTCTTGAAGGTAATTGTTGTGCATCTCGTCCTGGTCTTCAATGATTTAATAAGGTACTAAACACTATACCACTACTGACTACCTTAAGCTGAGGGTGTGTGGAGATCAACATACTATTGATGAAGATGTTGTATGTCAAATGATGAGAATATACTAATGAATAGTTTGATAGATAGTGTGTGTGTGTGTGTGTGTATGGATAGTTACTGTTAGTTACATGTACTCTGTTAATGTCATGTTTTTGTTGTGTTGCTGCTCACATCAATAGATGAGCCTCTAGTTTATACAGGGTACAGTCTTAAATATTTAATTGTCATCATATCTACATTATCATTACTCAAGCCATTCTATATAATAAAATAACAATAGTTATAATTGTGTCGAGTTGATGTTCTTTTTTAGAATCTACTTCTGCACATATAGAACTGATGTCATATCTAATGATGATCATCACTTTATAAAATCAGAGATGTCAATGGCCAAAATAAAAAATCACCTTGTTTTTAAGGATATGTAAATGTAGCTAACCAAAAAAGAAATTAGTTGTTAGCTTATTAAATTTTTTACGTTCCTGATAATGAAGATGTTCCTGTTAGTTTTTATGATTGATAGATAGTGTGTGTGTGTGTGTGTGTGTACTAGTTAGTTTTTAATAGTTAGGTTTATTCTTGAGTTGATTTGAAAATAATTAATAATTGAAATTTAATGGTATTTCAATTACTTGCACTTGAACAGAAGGTATGCAGATTATTAGTGCTAGTCTATTACTAAAACACCTGCACATTTTTGGTTGACGATAGAGTACGTTCTTTAAATGTTTGTCATTGCATACAGCATCATGTTTGACGTCATTAGTCAGGCTCTTCTGAATATTATAAAAGGAGTGAGGAGTAAACAGTAAACAATCATTACAAAGAGGATAATAATGCTCTCTCTTCTTATACTAGCTATTGCTTGTCTCCCTCAGTTTATCAGTAGTTCTAATCTTGCTCTTACATTTGATGCTGCTAACAGTACCTGTACCGCAGCCTGTACTACCTGCAGTGATACCAGTAATACTGATACCAATCAATACAACACTGATGATGCTCTATTGAATGAACTACTCAATACTGCCAGGAACAATGGTCAAGATATTCAAGAAATAAAACAGAAAATGGATGGCATCATTTCTTCTCTCTCTCATATCAAGGAGACTGCTACCTCTAATGCTGGAGCTATCAATGATATACTGCTGCTAGTGGAAGACCTTATCATGTTATACAATGACTCATCTTCCTTCTCTCCTATCCCTTCTTCTTGTCAAGAGATTAAGGACAAACAACCAAACAGTCCTTCTGGTGTATATCTACTGAAAACTAATAATGGAACTAAATATGTTTACTGTAATATGGAGAAGTTGCTGTGTGGTTCAAAAGGAGATTCATGGACAAGACTAGCATATCTGGATATGACTGATGCTACAGAGAGCTGTCCTTCTGGGTTTAGACTGTACCAGTCAGGAGGAGTTAGAGCTTGTGGTAGAGCAACATCAAGTGTAGGCAGTTGTGTATCAGTTCAGTTCCCATCTAATGGTATCAGTTACTCTCAAGTGTGTGGTAGAGTAGTGGGATATCAGTATGGTACACCTGATGCAGCTGATCCTAGGCCTATTATCAATGATATTAATTCTCATTATGTTGATGGTGTTAGTATCACTCGTGGGTCTCCTCGTCAACATGTCTGGACACTAATGGCTGGATTGAATGAAGCTAGTCTTCATAATAATGATGGTCGTTTTAATTGTCCTTGCTCTCAAGGTAGTACTCAAAACTCAACTCTTCAGTCTTTCATTGGTAATGACTACTTCTGTGAATCTGGTAATCCTTCTACTGATCGTACATTTCAATCCATACTCTATACATCTGATCCATTGTGGGATGGTAAAGGATGTGGTGGCTTTGAAGGTAATTGTTGTACATCTCGTCCTAGTCTTCCATGGTTCAATAAAGTACTAAACACTACTACTACTGACTACCTTGAGCTAAGGGTGTGTGGAGATGAAAATACGGATAATCAAGATGTTCCTGTTAGTTTTTATGATTTGTACATCAAATGATGAGAATATACTGATGAACAGTTTGATAGATAGTATGTGTGTGTGTGTGTGTGTGTGTGTGTGTGTGTGTAGTTAGCTAGTATAACAGTAGACTAGTTGTAGTGAGTTGTTAGTTTTTTTTTCTATTTTTGAGTAGTTGATTTTTTTGAAACTAATTTGAAAGTAATACATAATGCAATACAGGTCAGGGCGTTTCAGTTAGCTGGGTAATTCTGTCTATATTGTCTGAAAAGTTTCAATATTCTTATTTCAGTGTGTTAATAAAACAGCTCATAATCTCAATTATAATTTCAACATTATGCTAAAGACCTTTCTTTGCAAAAATAATGTGAAGGAAACTCTAAAGTTGCATAATTTGAAATGTATAGTGCTAATTGATATTCTTGGCTACTGCTATATATTACTCATGAACATGCATTACATCATTCTGTTGTCATTAGTCTAGAT